AACTGTATCTAAGGGGCAGAGCTTGTTGGAAAAGTCCATAAGAAAGTGACAGAAACATGAAGATTTCTTGTGAACATGAATGTGTGCTGTGTATGTATTGTAGTTATGAAACTGACGAGTGTAGGTAAATAAGTTTAGGCTGTAGTATTTGCAAAATATAGACCTAACTACCCAATAATACAGTGAAACATTGAATAACATTGCGAACAATACACAAATATTTGCATAATTATATAACTTAAATTTTTTTTTAATTTGCTGCATCAGCCACCTTGATTCCACAATCTGCTACATTCACATACAACAAACAATAGGCTCAGGCCTGCCATGGAGATATTATATCTCTATGGGCCTACATCATAAAACAACATGTATATATCATTAACAAGATTCAATTTTTCAGGTAGTGTGGTTAAATGGCTAGGGTTGGTTGTGGCAGTTTATTGGTAACAAATTAAAAACAAGATTACAATGACGAATTACCTAATAGAGAGTGTGGAAGAATTTTATTATTAATGACAGTTAATTATTAACTTAATAATACAGTATGGACAAAGTGAAGAATAATGAGTTGAGGAAGTGAACACAGCAGTGGTGTATCTAGGGGATGGGGGGCAACACACGCCCCTCCACAAGGATGAATGAGGAATTTGGAAACAATTTTTAGTTGGTGGCAAGTACCTTCAGAAAGGAGTTGGCCATAAATGTCAATCTGTTGTAGGCAGAACTGGCAAAGAGGTGTTAAAATACTATTTAATTTTCATTGGATCAACCAATAAAAAATAGCAATTTAAGTGGTAGTATTATATCAAGATAACCAGATAAAATTTTTCCAGTACTTAAAATTACTTTAAGGATTTCAGTTGCCAACTGAACATAATCTAGAAATAAGCGATTGTTACATGATACTATATTTTCTTCAAGTATTTGTCCATTCAAAAAATATATTAACATAAAATAATGTTAAACAAGATATTCTATATCATATTTGTATTCTGCTAAATTTAGGCAGGTTAGTGGCTCTGATAATTCTCCTAGCATGATATATTTTATAACTTTATTTTCAAAGCTACTTTTCTGTTTGATTTGTCTAAAATGATAGATAGAGATAGACAATAATTGTATATTTGTTTGGAAAAAAAATATGAAATTAACTAAAACTATATTTTGCTATTTAAACAATTATTTATAAAATTAGAAATGTGATATAAAAGTAAAGTGACAGGAGTCTCAGTCTCCCGGACGTTGCGGAAGTCTCCCGGAAATTGGACAGCCTCCCGCATTCCCCCAGGCAAGCAAGAATCTCAAGGAAAATAACCCATCTCCCGCAAATTCATGATATTTGCATATTCTTACTACTTTAATATCAATTGTCTCGCGGAATCAGTGCTGATGGGTAACCATCATCACAGCAAAATAAAATTATGCCAAGAAAGCTTATTCTAACCAAATGTCCCGGAAGACATTTCTTCCAACGTGGGACTCAGGAAGTGAGGTCATACCCATAACAAATGTAAAGCTTTGTCTACACTATCAAATTTCATCCAAAAAAAAAGGGTCACATAAAATGTGATGGAACATAGAGTTGAACACGTTCAACATTTTTTTGATACAATTTGATAATATAAGATATGACGTCATCGTACCCATATATGGGCACATCACATTTTTTGTCACATAAAATTTGATAGCGTAGACAAAGCTTAATCACAACCATAATCAATGCCACATATGTAGTGATAATGCAAGTGATAATGCAGTGATAACATCACTACATATCACTTGTTATCACTGGTGTAGTGATAACAAGTGATAATGCAGTGATAAAATGAGCAGGTGCTGAGATAACATAGATTTGTGGTTGATAATTATCTAAGGCTCAGTGCAGACTATCAAATTACATTTAACAAAAAACTGTTGTATGCCCATATATAGTCATCATGTGCCTATATATGGTCATGATGTGATGTCATCATGACCATATTTAGGCATGTCACATGTATTTGTCAAATAATAGTTATAAATCTGGACAGGGCATAAGGCATGCCTACAACCATGGAGCTATGCTATATAACTAATGTTTATCCCAGACCCAATAAACAATGTACTGTATAGGCTGAAACTAATACAGTATAGTACTTAAAACCTAGGAAAATTAATAAACCTTACCAAGAGTATCAGTAATACATTACGATGAACACCTTAAAATTGATTTATATATATTACTACATTTAAAACTTACAAAAATATAATACAATATTTTAAGTATAAATCTATTAAACCACCTTCAAACAATAATTCACATTTATTAGAGCTAAAATAAAAAAACATCTTATATCATTAATTATGTAAAAAAAATATGTTGGTAACATTGTTTATACACAAAATATTACTTCCATTTTATGGCAAAGTGCAGTGGCTAGTGTCAAAATGTTTTTTTTTAACGAAATGGCATATATTATGACAGTTATTAATTAATCACATAAACGGCAGTATGAATTGTAGACGCTATCCCTCCATAATTACACTGACAATATCTTTTTGCCAATTAAATGGGAAATGTGTTTAAAATTTAATAATTAGTACATGATCCAACATACCAAGTTTTATGTTGCCATTTTGTGTGAATCGCCCATATATGGGCATGTTGATGTATATCACGCCCATATATGGTCATGCTGATGACATTTCATACCCTAATAAGGGCAAAACTAATTTATTTGTAATAAAATTTTTAGTTTAGATATAGCTAGATTTCTTGAGTCTTTGTCATTAGCCATTTGTGGACCATTATAAATTATTAGAGTGCAAATTCAAATGCATTCAATTATCAAAAATTACTGTAAATTACACAGCTATGGTGCTCTAATATTAATTACTATAGTGAGCATTTGAATATGTTATAGGTATCCAAATATTTGCTGGTTTGGGTTCACAAGATTTCCTTCACTTAATTTTGAAACTAATAATGTGTACTGTTTGAATAGGTAAATCACTATGACAACATTCTTCAAGCCCTTTCCTCCATCCTCAAGTTTTTCCTTAACATTCTTGTGCAAGTACGACGCCATTTTGGAGGTGAAAACACACACATTAATGTGCATATATTCTTCTCACCTAGTTAACACTAATTTTTAAATAATTTTACATTGTAGAACATGCTACAGGGAGAAGATCCACTACAGGGTGGATAATCCACCACATGGTGAAGACCACAGGGTGAAGACATATCAATGGTGGCACCACAATGGTCAAGTATCTAACTGATCTCATTTCTCTCTATCTCAGACACTCTCTATCTTGGAATGCTAAAGTCTTAAAACATTCAGATTTTCACAGTATACAAATGGAAAACCAACTCTACAATAATGTACATATCTGGTTCAGAACCACCTCTTGTTTTGTATAAAATATAAATATTTGCCAAGCAAGCAAAAAAACACCGGCAAAAACTACAGATAAAAATTCACACACAGGAGAGAATCTCTACTAGCTTATAAAGTAAGGATCTTATGTCGACTATCAAATATTATGTGACAAATTTGTGCCCATATATGGGCATGATAATGTCATATTGCACCCATATATCACAATTATTTGTCCTATGAATTTGATAGACAGAACTTAAAGAGGATTCAGTTTAGAATTTTCTACATCTTGAAATCAAAGAATACATATATTCATTAATATTTTCTTATTAATAAAGTTAGTTGCATTTATTTATGAATGAGAGCAGCATTGCAGAGCTGGTTATAACTGGTTGTAACCAGTGTGTGCATTGAACCATGAACAGAGAGAATTCCTAGTGAAAAGCTTATAGAGTAAGGCTCTGTCCACACCACCAAATTTTACGTAAGAAATTTGTGTTCATATATGAGTATGATGATGTCATATTACACCCAAATATGGGTATATCACATTTATTTGTCACATAAAGTTGATAGTGTGACACAGCTTTAAGAATTCAGCTCAGAATTTTCTACAACTAGAAATCCAAGAATACAATATATTCATTAATAATTTCTTATAAAGTTAGCTGCATTTATTTATGAATGAGAGCAGCATTGCAAAGCTTGTTAGAACTGGTTGTAACCAGTGTGCCCACTGAACCATGGATATCTTAATGTCCCTGGTTTAAATTTACATAATTGTATACAAATTAAGTGCAATATATTTTAGAAACGCTTAAGTCACTGGTTCCATGTGCAACATGGCCCAGTTAAATGTTAAATGCAGGTGCACTGTTCTAACATTATGGAATTGTCTTAAATTCTGGTGTACTACTGGCCTGCCACAGTTGGTACTGCTGCACCATGGCTGCCGAAGGTTCTAAGGGCCCAGCCCAAACAATTACCTATATATTATACTATAATCTATACATATATCTTACAAGATTAACAGTCCTAAGTTGAATGTCAATAGATTCAGAGTACAAAACATTTTTTTAAAATAAGGTAAACATAATACTACTACTACAAACTGGACAAAATAATTCAGTTTTTAACAGATTTCAAGCAAAGATAATAGAAAAGAAAAGCAACATGGACACATGCAGCAAACAAAAACGTTCTACAATGCTCAGAAATCCTGCAATTAGTGTATTTTAGAAAATTTACATAAACACAGCATTGCTTTAACTTTTCACTCTTAAACAAATTCTGAATTCAGGAACAAACTGGTGTAGACTTATAATAATAAATTTTAGTAGTTTTCATGTTTTTTCTTAACCAATATCTCTGGCTTAGTCACTTCAACAAAATCGTAGTTATAGTTGTTGCATAATTCGTGGATGTCTGTTAGAGACATGGAACGCCTCTTCAGTACCAACTCTGGGTAATCTGGAAAAAAAAAATGGTTGAAAAATTATACAGTATACATAATTTTTCACTAGACTATGAATGAAAATTTCCAACAACCTGGCAACTACCACCTGGGGACTTCCTGAGGCTTTAAAGAATTTT